CTTGCAGGCCTTTACGTCAGTGTGTTTGAAGATGCACTCCAGCACGGGGCGGGAAAGGATGTAGAACTGCCTTGTGGGGCACTCACTCTCGGCTGAATCCCTGCGCCCAGGGAGGTGACTGCACTCGTCCAATACCGGGTCATGGCATCACGTGTGGACAAGGCCGCAAAAGAGACCGCAGGGCAAGCTCTGACTCCACACCCACTTTCCCTCTGAACATCTCGCTCGAGTATGTATCCCTTTCTCTCCACTGGCATCCTCTCCTTTCCTCCTGGCCATCCTCCTGCTCCTGCTCCTGCAGATGTCTCAATGAACATGCTGACCTTGCTGAGGGCACTGTGCTGAATCCCACCAACCCTCTGGGCGTAGGTGGTTTAGGGCGTTTCCTCTTCCACCCATCCCCCTCCCCCCTTCGGGGAGGGGTTCACCCCTCCACAATTACTCAATATGAATACTACTCTCCCTCTTCCCCTGATGACGTGCTGGGAGTGTTCGACCCCCCCCCGCGTACTGTTTTTTTACACACAGGATTCCCGGGAGTTGGGTTTTCGCTTGCATGTTTTTTCGAAATGCTGCTCTCGCTGAGGCGCTGGCCTCATTTTCGGGCCCCGCTCGTTCCGAATCGTGCTCCCGCTGCAGCGCTGGCCTCATTTCCGTGCTTCCGCTCGTTCCGAATCGTGCTCCCGCTGCAGCGCTGGCCTCATTTCCGCGCTTCCGCTCGTTTCGACTCCGGCTCCCGCTGCAGCGCTGGCGTCATTTCCCGTGCCCTGCCACGGCATGCAATGCAATGATAGGTTGATGCTACGCTTTGCGGTGCTCTTCTACGCCATGCCATGCCGTGCTCTACAATGCATCGCGTACCCTTTCGCGATCATTACCCTGCTCGACATCCGACTGTGCGAGTAGAGAGGGGATATACGCCATGGTAAGGGATGGGAGGGAGGGGTAGGATGTCAGATATGACGCGAGCGCACCTAGCTTGCCCTTACCCCCTCCCCTGGACCTGGACGGGGCGTCTCGCGGGTCGTTGGAGCGTCCAGGATGGCCCAAGATGGCTCCAAGAGGGCCTCAGAGAGCCCAAGATGACCTCCAAGCTTGCCCCAAATATCCCAAGATGCATTAAGATGGTTCCCGAAGTGCTCCAAGAGGCCCCAAGACCGCTTCAAGACGGCTCCGAGCGGCTACGGAGCCGTCGCCAAGAAGCCCAAATCCTTCAAACACCTAAGGAAAATCAATGATGTGTGCCTTCTCGCCTTTTCGCTTCCGCTAGCTTTCCGAGGCGTCCAGGCTGTTCCAAGAGGGACCATGAGGGCCCCAAGAGAGGCCCCAAAGAGCCCCAAGACGGCCCCAAGAGCGCTCAAGAGCGCTCCAAGAGCGCTCCAAGAGGGGCCTAAGAAGTGATGTTGGGGGCTCCAGATAGGGGGAGGCTACTTGAAGCTCCCCCCTTCTTTGATCGATCTCCTATAAGCCCCAAGAGGCGCCCAGGAGGCCCCAAGAGGCCACAAGATGACCCCAAGATGGCTCCAAGATGGCCCCAAGAGGCCCCCAGGAGGCCAGGACCCCAAGCGGCCCCAAGAGGCCTCCCCCCGAGGCACCCAAGACGCCCGAGAGTCCCCCAGGACCGCCGAATGACCCCCAAGACGCCCCAAGAGGCTTCCAAAAAGCGCCCAAGTGATATCCCAAGAGGCCCCGAGAGGCATCCAAGAGACCTCTGGCCCTTTTGCTCTCGCTCCTCCTCCTGCGCATCCTTCCTCCTCCTCCTCCCCCTCTTCCTTTTTATCTTCCTCCTCCTCTTCCTCCTCGTCAACATCGTCATCATCATCATCATCATCATAATCAGACTCCTTCTCCCCATTCCCTCATCCATCCATCCAGTTTCCTCCTTTTCCTCGTTCCTCCTTCGCACAGTTCGGCCGTCCAGCCCTTTGCTCCCGCCCTTCCCTGATCACCTCAACTCGCCTGGACATCGCTTCTAGATGGGATGGTGGGGATAGGTTCTTGGCCTGCGGGCTCGCGAAGCAGGTCGAATGCCGTCCGAACACTAGCCGGGCCGCGACTGGGCAGCAAGAAAAGAGAGGCAAGCGAAGCGAGCGCGCGGGGGGCAACCATTCAGAAAAAGAAAAGCCAAAAACAAAACTCCTCACTCGGTGGCGCGGAGACCCCACTGGCGACCATCAAGTAGGCGCAGCCAAAATGGCGCGGCGGCGCGACCATGAACACGCAGAGGTCGATCACTCGGCGTGAGTCGGCACATGGCACAATCAAAAACGAGCAGTACCGACAGGCACACCCGGACGACGTCCGCGCCGCAGGCGACACAACAGCATCGCGTCAGCGCAAAAATGAAGAGGGGCAACCTCGTCACAGACAGCTGGTGGGAATATTTGTTTGGTTTGCGGGCTCGCGAAGCTGGTCGACACCCGCCCGAACACTAGTCGGGCCGCGACTAGGCAGCAAGAAAAGAGAGGCAAGCGAAGCGAGCGCGCGGGCAACCACTCTGAAAAAGAGCCAAAAACAAAACTCCTCACTCGGTGGCGTGGAGATCCCGGTGGCGACCAGCAAGTATGCGCAGCCAAAATGGCGCGGCGGCGCGACCATAAACACGCACAGGTCAATCACTCGGTGTGAGCCGGCACAAGGCACAATCAGAGATGAGCAGGACCGACAGGCACACCCGGACGACGTCCGTGCCGTAGGCGACACAACTGCATCGTGTAAGCGCAAGAGAGAAGAGGGGCAACCTCGTCACAGATAGGACTGCAAACGGCAGTCCCTCTTGTTTGTACAGCAGTGGCACATGTCGAAAGCGAAGTCCTTGCAGGAGAAAGCAGCCGACGGGCGCACCGAGCCACACATGCCGAAGCCCTAGCACCGTGAAGGTCGGCAGCGTGCGAGACCCCACTGAACCCTTTCGGTCACCAGTGGAGGCCGACACCAGCCAGGAGCAGGCCAGGAGCCACCTGACCGCCCATTCCAAGTGTGATCCTTGCATGGAATAGTTCCATGCAAGGGTCACCTTGCAGTGGGGTCTCGCTACGAATTCCGAATTCGTAGCGAGACCCCACTGAACCCTTTCGGCCACCAGTGGAGGCCGACACCAGCCAGGAGCAGGCCAGGGGCCACCTGACCGCCTATTCCCAGTGATCCTCGCATGGAATTCAGGCTGTCAGAGCACCATCAGACAGCGGTATCGGCGGCAACCCCAGCCGCGTGGGATAAACCCGGTGAAACAAAGGAGAGGAGGGGACGTGCACGCCAGGCACGGTAGGCACCCTGGTGTGGCAGCTAACCGCTGCAGCACTAGGATGCAGGAGGGGAGGAAAGGAAGTGCACGCCAGGCACACGGTGTAAGAAAAGGAGGAAAACGGTATCCGCCGGCCCCTTTGCGGAGCCATCAGGCTGCGAAGATTAAGGTTGCTGCTCCCTGCACCAGTTCCAGCTTCCAGTTTCCATTGCTACAGTATTGCTTTCTGCTTCCTGCTGTAAATTGTTACTGTCCGCGCGAGGGGGGGAGCCGCAAAGGGCCCTGGTTAGCGTCCCCTGAAAGGGTTATCAGAATTTCTGGGGGGGGGCGTGGGACACGCAAAAATACATGGGTCTCGTGCCCCCGAAGCCGCGATCCATCGTAAATTACGCCGCACTCCCGTCTCCGAGGCCACGATCCCCCGTAATTTACGCAACACTTGCGTCTCCGAGGCCACGATCCCCAGAAAATTACTCCACACTCGCGCCCTCGAGGCCACGATCCCTTGTAATTCACGCCACACTCGCGCCCCCGAAGCCACGATCCCATGTACTTCGCATCATTCTCGCGCCCCCGAGGCCACGATCCTTGGTAAATTACTACAAATTCGCGCCCCTGACGCCACGATCCCTGGTAAATTACACAGCGGGCGCGCCCCCGAAACCACGAATCCGCCTTGCGGGTGCTGCCGAAAAGGCGCCCCCCGTCTCCGAAGTAGAAAAACGGTAAGTTTCTGTATTGGGATATGTGCTCCGCTGGTATTTTTGTTGCCCCCCTCGTTTCTGGAAAATTCGGCGGTGGGTTCCACATTCCCCCCCCCCCAGGCCACGATCCCTCGTAAGTTACGCCACATTTGCGCCATCGAAGCCACGACCCCGCGTGAATTACGCCACACTCGCGCCCCCGAGGCAACGATCCGTCGTAAATTACGCCGCTGTCGCGCCCCCCAGCCACGATCCCTCGTAAATTACGCCAAGCTCGCGTCCCCGAGGACACTACCGCCTGAAAATTACCCCAAATTCGCGCGCACCCTCCGCGCTGCGAGTCCACCTCGCGGAACCTGCCCAAAGGCGCCACTCCTTCTCCAGAGTCAAAAAAAACTTTCCAGGGACTACCTGAAGCAATCCCCAGCCGTTGCCAGAGCGCTTCCAGTGAACAGCTGGAGGAACATGCCAAGAAGGTAACAAAGCGTCCAACAACAACTTCAACATCTCAATATGTTGTGTTCTTCGCCAGCCGCCCTAGCATGACGCTCCCGAGTGTCATCAAGACGGCGCCCGAACATCCCAATATAGCTCTGATGTATCCCATTATGATAGAGAGGGGGCCGGCGGCAGGGGGCGAATCCCATACGGATAACATTTACTCGAGCAACTGTTGCTGACAATGCCAACCGTGGCTGTGCCATTTCCGACCGTGCTGACTATGCCAACCATGACTGTGCCAACCCTGGCTATGCCAACCCTGACTGTGCCAACTAAGCTCCTCCCCAGCGGTGGGCCCCCCTTCCACCTGCGACTCGCGACTATCCTCACACCCTTCTCAATGGAGGCGACTGACCGTCGCAGAATCCATTGGAACCCGAGGCGGCTGAGTGTTCCCAGGGGTCGCGTCGCCAGTGGGTTGTGTAGGACGGTCGGCAAGGTCCTCTCTGTCTTCTCCCTGCCCCTTCAGCTGCGGCTCGCGACCCATTTCGCACTCTTCCCTGTGGAGGTGACTAACCATCGCTGAATCCCTTGGATGCGAGGCGGCTGGGTATTCCAAGGGGTCGTGTTGCCAGTGGGTTGTGTTGGACGGTCAGTCAGGTTCTCTGTCTTCTCCCTGCC